TTGCCTCACATAATGGGCACGGGTAACGGTTCTTGCATGACCCGTGGCCCACCGTGCATGGATAGTATGGATTTAGCGTCCCGCAGGGACCATACATCATATGCTTCGTCACCATCTTGTAGAGCTCAGGGTACTTCTTGTTTGGTAGCTCTGCACTGATAATCATGTCATATGCTCGTGACATGTGAGCTTGTACTTTCGTTCCATTATCAGCAATAAGTGTGCATGTGGCAAGCCCCTCTTCTAGAACTCCACTACATATACGTAGGCCTTCACCTTCCCAAGTATGTCTTTCTCCATCAACATTTTCCTCATCGTCTCTAACTTTGCTCTGAAGACTCGTGTGACGAGATCTGGGCGGTCCTATGGTGTCTGGCCTGGATAAAGTTCATTCTTGATCTTATCCCAGTTAGGGTTGCACGTCATTGTGAGGAAGATATCAGGTTTACCATACTTTCGCACCAGATCCATTGCATCCATGTATCAGCGCCTCATATCACGAGGTCCTCCGATGAATGACGAAGACAAGATGGTACGCCTTTCGACATTCTCAGCAGATCCTTCACCCGAATGCATGCTGTCCACCAGGCCTTGGTATAGGTCAGCCCTCAAAGTATCCTGGTTGTTCCTCATGTAGTCTAAACATGAGCTCTCAATCTTGATGTAGGTGTCGACGACGAACTGCTGAAAAAGGCGCCGACCATAGAGTATTGGATTAAATATCTCTGGCCGCATCTGGAGCTTGTAGCAGTAGTAGTCGCGCACAGAGACACATGCATTTGAAACAGGTTCTACAGGGAGACATTGTTCGAATTAGTATTATGCGTTAACAGAAAAGAGTTTATATTGCATTATTGAAAAGAGTTCAAGTTACCTCCATCATCATCGTCACCATTCTCAGCACGCTTTTTGCAGATTGCTCGAGCTCGATCAACTTGAGCCATAGTCACACCCACTTTTGGAATGCAGTTGTGCCACCCGAGCTCACCCATTGGAAAGAACACCGGGTATGACAGTGGGTCATAGCATGCATTATATGAGCAGATGTCGTGTATAGACCGATCCTTCCCTTGCAGGAGAACACAAAATTCATTGTGATTTCACTTAACACAAAATTAACCAATAAATTCGTATTATCAAACTTATCCATGAGAGAGTTGATAAAAAGTTCCATTGACGCTAGAAAGAGTGAAATACTCCCTTCGTCTAAAAAAAAAAAAAAAAAAGTCTACTTAACCCCCCACCTTTCATACTTGGTCTACTTCACCCCCAACTATGAAACCATCTGTTTTATCCCCTGAACTTTTCAAAACCGTCTATTTTACCCCCCGGACGGTTTTTGATAGCGGTTTTGCTACAGTAACAGTGGGTTGCTGCAGTGCCGGTGGGTTTGAATTTTCTTTTTTTCGGTAAATTTTTGAAAAATCATAGTAAATCATAGAAAAATCATAAAATAAAAAATCTAATTTTATTGGACTCCACATAAGTAGATCTACACAGTGAATATATAATACGGTATGCTTTAGTACAAAATTTTTACTGTAGCCTTATATTAATTGGAAAATCTAATTTTGTCTGTAATTAATTGGAATAATTCATAGCTGCAGCTTCTATGATCCAATTATGGTAAAATTTTTATGGTATGCTAATTATTGTATGCTTGAACTATAGTAAAAATTTAGTACTCATTGGACTATGTATAAGTTAGTTATAGATAAATTCTAATTAATTACAGAAAAAATTGGATTTTCCAATTAATCTAAAGCTATAAAAAAATGTACTAAAGCATACCGTATTATATATTCACTGTGTAGATCTACTCATGTGGAGTCCAATAAAAGTAGATTTTTTATTTTATGATTTTTCTATGATTTACTATGATTTTTTAAAAATTCACCAAAAATAAATAAAAAAAGGAAATTCAAACCCAACGGCACTGTAGCAACCCGCTGTTACTATAACAAAACCGCTGTCAAAAACCATTCCGGGGGTAAAATAGACGGTTTTGGAAAGTTTAGGGGGTAAAACAGACGGCTTCATAGTTGGGGGTGAAGTAGACCAAGTATGAAAGGTGGGGGGTTAAGTAAACTTTTTTCCTAAAAAAATATACTTTGACTAAGTTTGTATTAGAAAATACTGATATTTATGATACAAAATAAGTACCATTAGAGACACACATGCTAAAACTATTTACTACCTGAATGGGCGCCGTCTCCTATCGTGCCCATTCAGGATCCTATTGACTACCTGAATGGTCAATTATTTTTAGGTCCTAATATCAATTGCTAATTATATAACACCTTGCAATGCTGATGGAAAGATGTTGTTCCTGAAATCCCATCAAGCTAAAAAGTTCCATTGACTGCTACCTAATATAAACAGCATCTAGACGTAGGTTGTTTCTGAAATTAATACAACGTCTGGTATTTCTTTTATTTATTGAACTGCATCCGAAACCCCATCAGCATCTTGCATCATTCCTTCAGTTGTTTCTAAAATTAAGCATTCAAAATTTATATATAAGAACCTAATCTAAGCATATCAATAGAAACAGGCACTATGAGGCAAAAAAAGCCTAACAATAACTGAATTATTTTTTGCATCTTTTTATCTCAGGTCTGGTTGTGAATGGCTAATTGGAAAAGAAAAACACAAGAATTCCCAAGTGCACTGAATTGCTGGTTGCAGATATGATGAATCTTCACAGCACCCAAACTGGAGAATGCATGGATAATTATGATAGCATACACTAAACCTGATAGTGCAGCTATCTAAAATTGATATGAATCGTCGCAGCAACCAAACTAAAGAATCGATGAATACTCATGATGGCATACATCAAGTAATAAAAGCAGGAGTAAACTCATGTTTTGTCATTCAGATTCCTGATGGAGAAGGGTTAGAGGGTAGACTTACATAGTAATAAACTTAAAGAAGGACGTTCCACGAGTAGTCAGATTTACATATTTTCTATTTTTAGTATTAGGTGATCATAAATTTTCCAGCAAAACTGACAATTAGAAAGGATGGTTTGACAAAACAACAAAGCATGTCCATAGGCTTAGCGTTCTTGTAACCCGTAGCTAGGCATGAAAAATTGATTGTCAGAAAACTATAAATATCTTCATGACAGTCAACTTGAACAAATGCTAACCTTAGCAGATTTAACCAAGGAGTCAGTAACGAAATAAATTTTGACAATGATGAAATGATATTATGATGTCCAGATTATTTATCAGACTCTTTCAACAATTGTCCAATCTACATACAACTCAAAGAGCATCCCATGAGTGATGTACAAAAACAGTCCATATTATGGAGAAACAATTAGCATTTTACAGTGGCAGAGAAAGAGTAGCATGGATATATTATATAAAAGTATAGTAGGTTTGATTTTGAATCTCACACCGACTTTTAGTTTCCTTATTGCCCCTTGAGTATATATTCCATGCTAAAATTCAGAGGGTAATTGTGCAATCAGATGAAACATGCAGCATGAGACTGATTAATCTTCGGAGACCCTTTTATGGTACTACTTGCTAAAAATCACATGTGCTAAAAATTCTCGACACATGTCCTTCTCCTTCTCGACGCAGGTCCATCTACGAGGACACAACCACCAAGGTTTGCTAGCATGGAGACACATTTTGTCGAACATGATGCTCGCGTTACATTCCCCACTTAGGTGTCCGTTTTTTCGCACAGAAGGGAGAGCAGAGAAGGGGTGGGCATACCCTGGTTGACCACCTGCGCCGCCAGGATGCCGCGCACGGACGCGTGCGCCGCCTCCAGCACCAGGACGCCGTGCCACCTCACGGTGGTATGCTTTGGTGGCGCCGACAAGCTAGAAGACGAGCCTGGTGTCCTGGCAGAGGATATGGTGGATGCTGTCGAGGAGCGACGCCTGGAAGTAGCCCAAGCTGAGCGCGTCCTTCTTCACCAGCACCACGGTGCCCCCGATCCGGCCCTCTAGCACCGTGGACGCCGCGGCGCCTCACGGTGGTCGAAGGCGTGTAGCACGGCCAAGCGGGGAGTCACGGAGGGGAGGGGAGCGATGCCGCGATCGCAAGGGGAGCGATGAGCAAGGAGGAGACCGAGGCAGATGGAACACGTGAGCGTGAAACCAAATGAAAAGGAGAAAAAAACTGTCCCTTTTGCAAATGTAAATAGGGAAGTAATTAAATGTATGCAGATTTGATAAGGTTCTCAGAAATGGAAAGATGTTCCTTTTGTCTTAATTCTCTTTTTTTTCTTCTGTGTTAATTCTCTTTCCTTTTGCTCGTTGCCATGTATATTGGTGCATGCAAACATGCAACGTGTATATGGATAGCACAATAATTTTCTATCTCCTATTTTACCGTGATTCCTCTATTACATGACAGACAATATTCAATCAAGAAAATGTCATGGGATCATAGACGTGGGTAAACGAACAAACCAAAATAAATATCGCACTACAAATATCGACACTTTTTTGTTTTTAGTAGTAGGAAAAAGACACCTTCAGGCCAAAACGTCGCAGCAACCCAGCCACCGGACCCGTCCAGATTCAGCCAGTCACGGGCCCACGGCGTCACGCACCCAAACGCCCGTGGCGGAGTTGACCCGACTCAACCCAACCCACACTGGCAGTCTCCACTCCCCACGCACAAGCCGAAGTACTGAACCGCCCTTGCGGAGACCGAGCGCTCCTCGGGTCCTCGGTATAAGCTCGAGGCCCATCGCCCTCGTCTTCCTCCGAGTCCGTCCCCGTCTCTCCCCTCACCCCAAACCCTCGGCTCGCTCGTGAGCGCGAGAGAGATCCCTCCTCCTCCCCAACACGGGGGAGCCATTCGCGTCGGGGGAACCGAGCCTGCGCCTCCCGCCACCGCCCCCGCACTCCTCCGTTCGGCCCTACGCTCCTCCGCCAGCTCGCGGAGCCCTTCCGGCGCCGATCTCCAAAACCCTAAGCCCTGGCGCGGTAGGGTTGGAGCCGGACGCGCACGGGCGGGGCGCCCGCCATGGCGCCCATCAACAGCGGCAACATGGAGCAGCACTCGCAGCGGCTCCTCGAGCCCGACCTCCGTGCGTCCCGTGATCCCCTCCCCTGTCCCGATTTCCTTCCCATCGCGTTTTTTTTGTTCTCGGCGTCAGCTTCGCCGGTGAATTCCCAGCTGTCTGATTTCCTTTCCATTGGGGTTTGTTTGAGCTCTTGAGAATTTTCTGTCGTTTGATTTGAAGAGAAGGACATTAGATGCTTCTCGCTGTTTCCTCTTGTTACTATATCGCACAGTATTTAATTTCTGTCTGAATTTCACACCGGTGGAAGGACTGCATCCAGGCATCTCTGTCCACTGACGTTGTGTTTTTCCGCGGCTGGTGTTTTTCCTTAACTGATGCCTGCAACTTCTTGCTTCCTATTTGCACTGAATTTCAAATCCAGCTAGCTACTTCCATTCACCTTTTCAAAGACATTTACTGTTAATCCATTTAAATTGCGTAGCCTTCAACGTTATATTTCAAGCACAACTTTTTTCGCCCACCCAATTTTGCATTTTTGTAGCGGGGCGACTTATGGAGTGTACCTGCTATTCTTTATGTTATCCGGGAAGGCGGGAATGAGCATACTTTTTATGCAGCAGTGTTCTGGCACCCCCTCCCCTTTCGAACTCACTGCCTTACTCCCGCACTTTGTTTTGTGAATTTTGCTTAAACAATAAACCTCGTCTACCTCGTCTTGCAAAATAATCACTCACTCACAATCTTTGCTTCTCAAACCATAATGCTTTATCTAGCTGAATGGTCTGATCTGATCGTTTGCTCTAATACTCTGCAGCTGTGCAAGTCCGACTGCAGCTTGCCACGGAAGTTCGGGACAGCTTGGAGATGACACACACTCCAGACTACCTCAACTTTCTTCGCTGCTACTTCAGAGCCTTCTCAGCAATTCTCACCACTTACACCAAGCCACAGGCCACAGAGAATGCTGAGCACAAGCTACGTTATGTTGTGATCGAGATACTCAACCGCCTTCCACACAGCGAGGTGCTCAGACCATTTGTGCAGGATTTGCTGAAGCTTTCTCTCCGTGTGCTGACACAGGACAATGAGGACAATGCTCTCCTTGCCATCCGAATTGTGTTTGACCTCCTCCGTAACTTCCGCCCTACTGTTGAGGCGGAGGTGCAGCCATTTCTTGACTTTGTGGTTAACATATACCATAAATTTCCCACAACTGTTAGCTACTTCTTCGAAAATCCCAACACAAGTGCCAGTATGGCTGCCTCCATGCCCATGCAGCATTTGGACCCCACTGCTGATGCTCCAGTCACGATGCAAGTGCCTGGTGGTGGTCAACTCAACCCGAGCACACGGTCCTTCAAGATAGTCACAGAGAGCCCTCTTGTTGTGATGTTTCTCTTCCAGTTGTATGCAAAGCTTGTGCAGACAAATATCCCGCACTTGTTACCACTCATGGTGGCGGCCATCTCTATCAAGGGCCCCGACAAGGTGCCACTACACCTTAAGACACCCTTCAATGATTTAAAGGGTGCACAGGTCAAGGTAGGTCTTCAGATTTTGTTTTTGGTTGCCTTTTCTTTCAAGTTCATGATGGATTGATGATTTTTCTTGCAGACCTTGTCATTCCTGACATACCTCCTGAAGAGCAATGCAGATTACATAAAGTCATACGAGGAAAGCATATGCAAGAGCATTGTGAACTTGCTTGTTACGTGTCCTCCTGATTCTGTCTCCATTAGAAAGGCAAGATTTGACCTGGTGCTTTGTTGAAATCATCTAACTATATGAGTGTTACTTTGGAAATGCTAATATCTTTATCTCTTACACTGAATTTCAGGAGCTATTAGTTGGTCTGAAACAAGTTCTAAACACCGAGTACAAACGAGGGTTGTTCCCCTTGATTGACACACTTCTTGATGAAAGGTAAATCATTTTTGTTTTGCCAGCAATCATGTGATCAAGCTTATCTAGTTTATTTTCAAATGTGCTATTTCTGAGATCTCATTCAGATTAAGGCCCTGTTTGGCATGGCTCCAACTCTGGGTGGAGCTGCTCCACTCCAGAACTCCAGGTGGAGCTAACTTTGAGTTGAGTTGGAACTGTCTGATGGAGCAGCTCTGGGTGGAGTTGGAGTTGCAAAAGAGGTGCTCCAAAACTCCACCCCCATTTGCACTACAGCTCCATGGAGTTGGCAGCTCCAAGGAGTTTTGGAGCTGGGGTGTTTGGCTGGAATTTTTGCTGGAGTTGCTGGAGTTCTGGAGTGGAGCCATGCCAAACAGGCCCTAAGTTTGATATGGCCACATCTTGATTTCCTGATACCGTGTACTCATTTTGTGATGTGTAATTGATAAACTACTTTGCAAAGTGCTTCATTTTGACCTGTGATCAACTCATTTCATCCCCTTTCCCCTTCTTTTCATTGGGTTTCGATATTTTTTAGTTACTTTTGGTAGGCTGAATAATCCTAAGATAAAGAACGCCTAGAAAAGTTAATAAGGTTTTCTCCGTTGATCTAATGGGTATTACAAAGATGAACAACACATGATAATGAACCAGGTCTATTTTTTTGCCTGAAATATGATGAGTCCAATTTTCACCATCAACAATGAAATAAGTTGGCTTTCACACAATTAAAACCAGTTCAAATAACCCCCATACTTAAAACCACTTGTGTGACGATTCAAGGGGAGTAAATGAACTTGTTTAAAAACACAGCCTTTCCCTGATTTGTATCTATTTGAAATCAATCTGTTTTAGTTGTAGTTTTCAAAAACTTAATGGAATTATAATTAGCAAAAGAATTTATCCCTTCATGAGGCTCTGTCTTATAGTTTCCTTATGATAGTTATGTATTGTTTCGCTTTACTGGTCTTGTAGCATTTATTATTCTACATGTATTAACTCTTAGTTTCTAGTCATGTCTGACACCTTACTTTTGGTGTTATCAGGGTTTTGATAGGCACAGGTCGAGTTTGCATCGAAACTTTAAGACCTCTTGCTTACACCCTTCTTGCTGAATTGGTGCATTATGTTCGAGAAGATATTTCTCTTCCACAGGTTAAACTTGTCTCTTGTATCATTTATATTGCTTACAGATTTGGGGTAGCATTCTAGTTGTTGAATTTGCATGTACAGCTGTCACTTTTGTGTCCCCCTTCCCCTCCCCATATACCCAAACACATCCTATGGGATTTTTAGGATATATGCATCACTTAACCTCGGCAAGCGAAGCTGTTATCTGATTTCTTCATTGCAGACACCAGACCATATCCAAATAGTATTATGGTTGAGACATGTATTAGGCATCTGATTTATTAGTAAAGCTAGGTGCCTTGTCAGATCTCCGCCTGTTGTTGAGCTACTATATGACTTTCATGGATACGATATGAGCTACTATATGATTTTCATGGATACAATATTATGCGACTAATTAGTCACTTCAATGATGCTGTGATCCTTAGAAGATAAATCTCTCTTTAAAGGCATACATAGTTCCACTTTGTCAGTATTATTTATGCCTTGGTGTTGATCATGTTGCTGCTGAACTAATGTAACTTTAACTTATTGCAGTTGTCACGGATCATCTATTTGTTCTCTCGGAATATGCATGATTCTTCTTTAACCCTTATAATTCATACAACATCTGCCCGCTTGATGCTGAACCTGGTATATTTGCTATTCTGAAATTCTTTATTAGTGAAAGTAGGATTAATTCATTTAGGTGCAGCTTATCAGTATATGAGTATGAAATCATCAAATATATATCTGTAAAACTAGGCGCTAGTGTTACCTAAATCAGTACTAGTAAGTCCCTACCTTTTGCTTTAGGTTGAGCCCATATATCAAAAAGGTGTTGACCAGCAAAGCATGGATGAAGCACGGGTTTTATTGGTAAGAAGTGACTTCCATAATAGTATGTCAGTAATTTTACTTTTTCCTAATCAACTATACTTATTACTCGAAATGATCAGGGGCGCATATTGGATGCATTCGTTGGGAAGTTCAGGACGTTGAAGCGAACAATCCCTCAGGTATACAACATGTTTTGTGATTCTTTCGGTCGATTAGGTTTTAAAACCTTTGCCTAATTTATCAGCTGAGGACTTCGAAACATGGGCGCATGCGTTAGATGCTGCTACACTGCAGAATCTAATTTCAAAAATTACTGGTTGAAGAAATGTGGATTGAAAACATATAGAGAAACTGTTACGTTGCAACTATAATACTCATTATAAGCTCAAGGAAATTGAATACTCTCTCCGTCCCTTTATAACTGTCGTTCTCACTTCCCGAGAAGTCAAATGTACTTAACTTTGACCAAATATATAATAAAATTTAATATTTATGTTACATAATTAGTAGCATTAGATAGATCATTGAATCTATTTTCATAATAAACTTATTTGAAGATATAAATGTTGCTAGTATTTTATACATACCTAGTCAAAGTTAAGAAAGTTTGACCAGCACGAATATCATAGCGACACCTAAAAAGGGACAAAGGGAGTATGTGATAATCTTGCAATGAAGGGGCACATTATTGCCCTGTGCTCCTTAGGTTCTTCACTCCCAATCCCCACAGAAACATCAGTGCTATCTCCTTACGTTTTCTTGCTGATATGGTCCACCTTACTCCTCTCACTATATAGTTGCTTGAAGAAGGCGAGGAAGGGAAGGAACAACCGAATCTGAGAATGAAGCTTGAAGTCCCATTACAGGTATGTACTATGTGAATGTTTCTTTCATGGAGGTAGCAATACCATTCTTTTTTTCCTGTGGCTAACTGCACTCCTCTTTCTTTAGAAAATCACAAAATTATGCTTGAATTGATTTTTTTGACCTTATATAGCTGTCTAGATCAAATTTCTCCAGAGATAAAGGCACCACAACTTATAAATAGCCTTGGTTGGTTATGAAAACCATAGCTAGTTTCTTAGTCATGGGCAGATAGATAATTTTTTTTAAGCTTTGCGTGTTGACAAAATGTGTGAGGTGTTTAGTTGCATCCTACTTATAAAATGAATTTTTTTTTTTTTCTGAGATAGGTTAAATCTGATACAAATTGAAATTGTTTTTTTGACTGATGATTCAATGGCCTTTCCTTTTTGGCCAACTTTACAGACTGTGCTGAATTTGCAACAACCTTTGGAATATACTAAGGAAATCAACGATTACAAAAGTCTGATAAAGACTCTTGCTGTGGGTATGTATTAATTTTTGTAAAATTTCTGCCCTGTTCCATGTCTTTCAGCATCTTATTTCAGTTATTGCCTAAACTATTTCATACTGACCTCATACAAGGAATGAAGACAATAATATGGAGCATAACCCATGCTCACTGGCCACGCCCCCAGGTATTATAAACCTCCCAAATACGTCGATATTTTTTGGCAGTTCTGATATTATACTTGAGCTCTAATTAACCCTTTGATGCTGACATTTCTATTTTGGTGAACAGCAACAAAATCAACAGTCTTCTAATTTGTCAGTTCAACCCTTCAGGGGGCTGAGGGAGGATGAGGTCCACCACCTTGAATCTTTCTTCCTCTTTATTTGATCTAACTGTTGCTAATCAGTTTTAATTATATATTCTAGGTGCGGAAGACATCTGGTGTTCTGAAGTCTGGTGTTCACTGTCTGGCTCTGTTTAAGGAAAAAGACGATGATAGGGAAATTCTGCAATCATTTTCGCAGATGTTGGCTATAATGGAAGCTCGCGATATTATGGATATGTTTTCCTTTTGCATGCCTGACCTCTTTGATTCTATGATAACCAACAACCAGCTGTTGCACATATTTTCGACCCTTTTGCAAGCTCCCAAGGTTCTGCGGCCTTTCACAGATGTATTAATTAATTTCCTTGTTAGCTCAAAGCTTGAAGCCCTGAAGCAGCCAGATTCACCTGCAGCAAAGCTTGTTTTGCAACTTTTCCGGTTCTTGTTCATTGCTGCAGCCAAAGCTCCAGAAAGCTGTGAACGCACACTTCAGCCACACGTGCCCGGTTATAATGGAAGTCTGCATGAAGAGTGCCACTGAAGTTGAGAAACCCCTAGGTTACATGCACCTTCTTCGTAACATGTTTCGTGCATTGAACAGTGCTAAATTTGATTCATTGATGCGTGATCTTATACCATCTCTTCAACCCTGCCTCAATATGTTACTCTCCATGCTTGATGGGCCAATAAGTGAAGATATGCGGGACTTGATTTTGGAGCTTTGCCTGATTTTACCTGCCCGCTTGAGTTCTTTATTACCCCACATACCTCGTCTAATGAAGCCTCTTGTTCTTGCTCTAAAAGGTAGTGATGACCTTGTGAGCTTAGCTCTACGCACACTCGAGTTTTGGATTGATAGTCTGAACCCTGATTTTTTGGAGCCTAGCATGGCAAATTTAATGTCAGAAGTCATTCTTGCTTTATGGTCTCATTTAAGGCCTCCTCCTTACACATGGGGCACAAAGTCTTTGGAACTGTTAGGGAAGCTGGGGGGCCGAAATAGGCGATTTTTGCGGGAGCCTCTTGCACTTGAATGCAAGGAAAATCCGGAACATGGATTACGCTTAGTTCTGACTTTTGAGCCCGCGACACCTTTTTTGGTTCCTCTGGACAGATGCATACACCAAGCTGTTGGTGCAGTTATGCAAGGCAATGGTATGGAAGCTTTCTACAGGAAGCAGGCTCTTCAGTTCATTCGGGTGTGCCTGGATTCTTTGTTAAATCTGAGGGAAAATGTACCTGGCGAGGGTGTGAGCCCTGGTGTTCTTGGTACATTGCTAATCTCTTCCCTGGATCCCTCAAGACGTCGCAATGATGCTTCAGATATGAAGGTTGGTAGAAGTGATCGACAATTAATGTTCTTTACATTACTTTTTACTGTAGTTTACTTACTCTTATCACAAATTGGAAGTTTGCCCTAAGTCAAACTTTTTATCTTTGACTGTTAATATAAAGTTTGTATGTAGATTGACAACACAAGATTGGCCTTACTAAAGAACATTGCTTTGCTTTGCATCAATTCTTGTCTGAGCAAAATGAACTCATAGATTGTTGAACTTACAGTTTTCTTTCTGGTGTTCTTGTGCTTTAGTTATCTTACCAACACCTTGTTTTTTTTTTTACTTTGGTTTATTTATAGGGAGATTTAGGTGTGAAGACAAAAACACAACTACTGGCTGAGAAATCTGTTTTCAAGACTCTTCTTGTAGCTGTCATTGCAGCTAATGCTGACACCAGTCTTCATGATGAGAAAGATGATTATGTTGTAGATATATGCCGGCATTTTGCTATGCTTTTCCATGTTGATTCACCATCCTCCAGTCAATCTGGATTTATGCATCCTATTGGTTCTTCACTCCCATCTAGCATCAACATGGGATCAAGATCAAGATGCAACACTTCATCTAATCTCCGGGAGCTGGACCCTTTGATATTTTTGGATGCTTTAGTTGAAGTGCTATCCAGTGAAAATCGCCAACATGCAAAAGCTGCCCTATCTGCTTTGAATATTTTTGCTGAGACATTAATCTTTCTTGCACGGATGAAACACACTGGTATGCTAAGGGTGGTCCTAGCACCCCTATGCTAGTCTCCAGTCCATCTTTAAATCCAGTATATTCACCTCCCCAAGTGTGCGGGTTGCTGTATTTGAGGAATTGTTACCTCGGCTATTGCATTGTTGCTACAGTAGCACATGGCAAGCTCAGATGGGTGGTGTAATGGGTCTCGGAGCATTGGTCGGTAAAGTGTCTGTGGATACCCTCTGCATCTTTCAGGTCAGAGTCGTGCGTGGTCTTCTTTTTGTTCTTAAGAGGTTACCAGTGCATGCAAACAAAGAGCAGGAGGAGACAAATCATGTCCTAACACAAGTTCTTAGGGTAGTAAACAATGCCGATGAAGCAAACAGTGAACCTCGACGGCAAAGTTTTCATGGAGTTGTTGAGTTCCTTGCACAGGAGTTGTTTAACCCAAACGCTTCAATGGTTGTGAGAAAGAACGTGCAGGCTTGCTTATCACTGCTTGCAAGCAGAACTGGCAGTGAGGTCTCTGAATTGCTTGAGCCTCTCTATTTGCCATTGCTTCAGCCTCTGATTTCACGACCTCTTCGTTCGAAGAATATTGAGCAACAGGTACGTTAGATTCTTAGTTCTGAATCATTCAAACATGAAGTCCTTACCATTGACTGATTTTCCTCCCTTTTATGATAGGTGGGCACTGTTACTGCTTTGAACTTTTGTCTTGCACTCAGACCACCTCTTCTAAAGCTATCTCCTGAGCTTGTCAATTTTTTGCAAGAAGCACTGCAAATTGCTGAGGCTGATGAAACTGTGTGGGTCACCAGGATGATGAATGCAAAAGTAATTCTCACATGGAACAAACTCAGAACTGCATGTATTGAACTACTTTGTACTGCAATGGCATGGGGAGATCTAAAAGCTCAAAATCATACTGAATTGCGAGCAAAGATTATTTCTATGTTTTTCAAATCTCTAACATGCAGAACGACAGAGATTGTCAATGTTGCTAAGGAGGGACTTCGTCAGGTACTCTTTTAGCTGTACCACTTTGTATATTGACATGAAAATTTAATCGTTTTATTATCTTTTTACTTGGTTTCTGTACTTTGTTCTCACTATTCCGATCTTCTTATGTTCTAACTGATAACTTCATTTCTGTAGGTTGTTCAGCAGCAAAGGATGCCAAAGGATCTTCTACAGAGCAGCTTAAGGCCCATTCTAGTAAACTTAGCAAACACAAAGAGCCTTACCATGCCATTGCTACAGGGGTTGGCTCGTCTCCTTGAATTGCTATCAAACTGGTTTAATGTCACTTTAGGTGCCAAGCTATTGGATCACTTGAAAAAATGGCTGGAGCCAGAAAAGCTTGCCCAGACTCAAAAATCTTGGAAGGCTGGAGATGAACCAAAAATAGCAGCAGGTCTGCATTTCTTATATTGCTCTGCTGGCTTTACTTTTTTCATCAACATGAGTCTCAAAATAAATGCACATACCTGGAGCAAGCTATATGTTGGATTACTTATTACTTATTTATGGTTGTTGAATTACACTAGATTTGTGGAGTAGATGATTCTGGTCTGCTTTTAGAAACAATCATTACAAAACTACCAATCTCTTAACAAGATTGAAATTGACTACGTTGACCTTTTCTTGTAACTAACCTTGTCCTGTGTGCTTGAGTTGGAGTTATTCTTGTCTCTTGTCTGATTATACTTTCTTTTTGGGCAGCTATGATCGAGCTGTTTCACCTTCTTCCCCCGGCAGCAAGCAAATTCTTGGATGACCTTGTTACCTTGGTAATTGATCTGGAAAGGGCACTTCCTGAAGATCAGTTTTACAGTGAGATCAACAGCCCATATCGTGCTCCGCTTGCTAAATTTTTGAATCGTTATGCTGTGGATGCTGTTGACTATTTTCTTGCTCGATTAAGCCATCCAAAGTATTTCAGGAGGTAAACACTTGGCAAATTCAACTCTTCTTTTGATGTTGCACATATATTCTTCCCTATTTATCTGAAAACACTTTTGTACACATTCAGTGCCACATACTGGTTGTTTTTATGTGAGCATTCTTTTGCTAAATGCTTTAGTTTTTTTCCTGTTCATTGATGTCATACCAAACTTGACAAGTTCAATTGTTTGAGCTGGCCTTATTCCAAAGAATTTTCGGGTTATACTGCCTGCATATATTTTGACATGCACCTTGTTGCTACCGCTTTTCTCTGCTATCGTGCTTATTTCTCGTTTTCCTTGATCCTCGTTCAATTTTTAGTTTGAACACCTGTGTTGTAATGAAGATGGTTGATAAACAAATTGAATGGTTGTTGCATAGCATTAAATTGTCGATCTGATTTGTATTGTGTGTCCTCATTTTCATTCTTTGGTTGTGTACTATAAGAAAAAAAAACACCTTACTGTTCTGGTTTACAAACATTTTATTTGACTACGTGAATAGCCTTTTGTTTTGTAGAAGATGATGCACTACCTATTCCTAGGTTTAGCATAATGATTTCATGGACTTATCATCTCTGGAAATTGTTTTGTATTATTTCTTGAAAATTCAGGTTTATGTACATAGTCTGCTCGGATACTGGGGACCTAAGGGACGAACTTGCAAGGTCACCTCAGAAAATACTTGCAAGTGCCTTTTCACAGTTTTACTCTCAAACTGAAGCATCTGCTGCTCAATTATCTTCTGTAAAGGATGAAGCCCTTACTGGGGCTATATCTGAGAGTTTTACAGTACAATCTTCATCCAACATGGTTACTACTTCTGAGAGTTACTTTAATGGATTAGAGCTTGTCTCAGCCCTTGTGAAATTGATGCCAGAGTGGCTCCGTAACAACCGGGTTGTCTTCGACACCTTGCTACTTGCTTGGAAATCACCTACAAGACTTGCGAGGTTGCAGAACGAGCAGGATTTGAGTTTACCCCAGGTAGCCATAAAAATTGCTATATTAGTTTGTACAGTGCTCGGAAGCTGACATATTGGACTTATGCTTTACTAATTTAATACTAATATCAATTGTCTGTCTTCCGCTGTCAAATCTCTTCTGTCTGTTTCGAGGTTTATTTATTTTTTATTTCAATTTGCATAAATTGTTCAAGTTACTCAAGATGTCTTTCTTTATGTTTATTTTTTAGTGCTGGCTTTGTAAAACGAGAGTTATGCTTTATCTTAAAAAAATAGCAGATTGACCTTAAATTCTTAATAAGTAACAAGCTGCTTAGGAATGAAATCTGTTATATGTAACAGCTAAATAAAATGCTTTACAATTTGTTTCTATCATATGGAATTTACTTATATCGAAAGGATTATGTATCATTTGTAATTTAGTCCTCTGGCAATTGACTCCTGCATATTCGATATGTGCAAAAACCTAATACTCTGGCAATTGACTCCTGCATATTCGATGTGTCCTTCACTGTTCACTCATTTGAAGTTGGTTTTATTTAATTGCTATCATGGAAGTTTAGTGCTTTCATGCCAATATCTGCACTTGATTCCTTCAACATTCTAGTGCTTTTGGGTTTTGATGATCTTGCTTTCTTAACAGGTGATGGAAAGCAAGAGGCTTATCAAATGCTTCCTGAACTACTTAAGACACGATCGCACTGAAGTTGGTGCACTCTTTGATATGCTATCAATATTCTTGTACCGGAGTCGTATAGATTATAGCTTTCTTAAGGAATTTTATGTCATAGAGGTAATGCCATTTCTTGTTTCTAAATCATGAGGATTTTTGTGTGTATCTATTGACTTCCTATCTCATCTTTACATGTTCATTTTAGGTTGCTGAAGGATACTCCCCAAATTTGAAGAAAACTGTTCTTAACCACTTTCTGAACATTTTCCAGTCAAAACAATATGGGCAAGATCATTTAGTTGTTACCATGCAGATTCTTATACTTCCAATGCTAGCTCATTCTTTTCAAAATGGACAAAGTTGGGAAGTTGTTGATCCTACTATAATTAAAACTATTGTCGAGAAGCTTCTTGATCCTCCAGAAGAGGTAACGATATGAATCCTGGCTGCAGCCAAATTATCTTCACTCTTAACACGTGGATGATGAATATTCATTTTCTTCATTTCTCTAGGTCAGCGCTGAATATGATGAACCATTGAGGATAGAACTTCTTCAGCTAGCTACACTACTTTTGAAGTATCTACAGACTGATCTTGTTCACCATCGAAAGGAACTCATAAAGTTTGGTTGGAATCATCTCAAGCGTGAAGATAACTCCAGCAAACAGTGGGCCTTTGTGAATGTTTGCCATTTCTTAGAGGCCTATCAAGCTCCTGAAAAGATTATTTTACAGGTAATGTGACATAAATTTCTCTTAGATTGATGTTGCATCCTTATCATTTTCTTATATCCAGCTAAAAATGTGCGATATCATTTTTCTCAGGTCTTCATTGCTCTGCTACGGACATGCCAACCAGAAAACAAGCTGCTGGTGAAGCAAGCTCTCGATATCCTCATGCCTGCCCTACCTAGGAGACTTCCTCCTGAAAAAAACGATAGCCGCATGCCAATATGGATCAGATACACCAAGAAAGTCCTTGTGGAGGAAGGGCATTCAATTCCAAACATGATTCACATATTCCAGCTTGTTGTTCGCCATGCGGACCTCTTCTATAGTTGCAGAGCCCACTTTGTTCCTCAGATGGTCAACTCTCTTAGCCGCCTTGGATTACCATACAACACAACAGCGGAAAATAGAAGGCTTGCAATTGAACTTGCTGGGTTGGTAGTGGCATGGGAAAGACAGAGGCAAAGTGAGATGAAAGTGGCGCAGGAAAATGAGAGTCAGAATCAATTAGGTGACATGCTTAATCCTTCTGTTATTGGTGGTGATCCAAAACGGTCCTCTGATGTTCCGTCGTTTGCTGATGATTTGAGTAAGAGGGTGAAAGTTGAGCCTGGCTTGCAACCTCTTTGTGTAATGTCTCCGGGTGGGGCATCTATACCTAATATTGAGACACCTGGATCTTCAGGGCAACCTGATGAGGAGTATAAACCTAATGCAGCAATGGAGGAGATGATCATTACCTTCCTTATCAGGGTGATTATCGTTTACCTTTTGTCCTGTAAATACATGCTGAACTGCATCCGTAGATTCCCCCAATTAACCATCTAGCTGAGAGGATTCTTTTGTTGTGTATTACGAACTTACGATGCTTGCTTGCTTTTGTGGTATATGTGATATATTCCAACTTATGCTTGAGAAATTTTAGCATATTTCATTTATGGATAAAGGCATTTGTGTTCAATTGTCCATCAGTCTCATCTGAGTATTGGTCACATAGTGATGGCGTGAAACTACTTTCCACAGCTTGCTACTATGTTCCACAATCAGCATATGCACAGTTATAGTTTTAGCATTAAAATTGTTTTTTGTTTCTTGCATTGGAGTTGCATATATATTAATAAATTTGTTCATTTGGAGAACAGGTATCTCTTGTGATTGAGCCTAAGGATAAGGAGTCTAGCTCAATGTACAAGCAAGCTCTTAATCTACTGACTCAAGCTCTGGAAGTCTGGCCAAATGCCAATGTTAAATTCAATTATCTGGAGAAATTACTTGGGAATCTGTCACCCACTCCTCAGTCCAAGGACCCTGCGACAGCCCTCGCACAAGGCCTTGATGTTATGAACAAAGTCTTGGAGAAACAACCCCGTCTCTTCATCCGAAATAACATCAATCATATTTCTCAAGTAATTCCAGATTATCCTTGTTCTCTCGACATGGTCTTTGTTGTAATTTATGTTTTCATTGATCAGGACATTCTCATGCTTTGCTTTTGTTTTATGGGTCATTTTGGTTAGATACTGGATCCTTGCTTCGGCAACAAAATGCTGGATGCTGGAAAGTCACTTTGTTCCTTGCTCAAGATGGTGTTCAGTGTTTTTCCTCTTGAAGCAGCAACAACGCCACAAGATATAAAGTTGTTGCATCAAAGGGTTCAAGAACTCATTCACAAGAATCTTGCTGCTGTTACAACCCAACAGATAGCACTTGAGCCCAACAGTGCTAACTCAATCATTAGCTTCTCACTGTTCGTCCTCAATGCACTTGCAGAAGTACAGAAGAATTTCATTGACCCGTTCATTGGCTTGCTTTTCCGTGTACTGCAACGTCATGCACGTGACATGGGATCTTCTGCTGGCGGCCATATCCGACAAGTATGTTAAGTGTATTAATGTCTACTTGCAAACAATCTGGATTTCTCTTATATTCCACTTACCTTTTTTTTTTTTTTTTTTTTTTTGCAAAGCCTTTAGCTAACCTGAGTACTATTGATTGCTTTTTAGTTATTGGACACTTATTGCACACTATCTTGTCCCATGGTTTTTCTTTTTGGCCTCTTTTGCATGAAAATGTCTCTGAAATTTTGTTTAATCTTGTCTATAAGCTCTGTGTTCTGTTACCATTTCAAGGTGCCATTGACTTTTTGATAATTCCAGGGACAGAGGCCTGAACTGGATTCATCGGTTAACTCACGGCCTACCATAGATTCTACTGTCATATCTAACATGAAGACTGTCTTAAAACTTATAAGTGAGAGGGTGATGTCCTCTTCTGACCACAGAAAATCTATGGGCCAAATACTTCAAGCTCTTCTTTCAGAGAAAGGCACTGATTCCAGCATTCTTCTGTGCATACTAGACATGATAAAAACTTGGATTGAGGAGGATTATAGGCTTGCTTCATCAACTGGTTCTGTTGGTTCACTTAACTCAAAGGAAATACTAACTTATCTTCAGAAGTTATCATTAGTTGACAGAAAAAGCTTCCCTCCAGCTGCACAAGAAGAATGGGATGCAAAATACTTGCAGCTTCTTTATTCACTTTGTGCAGATTCAACCAAGTAAGGATATCTCTACAAAGCAAGCCTTTTTAGTCTTCTGTAATCTTTTCTTTAATGGTTTCTATTCCTGCAGGTATCCATTGGCTTTTCGGCAAGATTTTTTCCATAAGATTGAGAGACAGTATATGCTTGGACTTAGAGCTAAAGATCCAGAAATGAGGAAGCGATTCTTCAAGCTTTACCATGATACAGTGGGAAAAACATTATTTTCTAGATTGCAATTTATAATACAGGTACAGGACTGGGAAGCAGTGAGTGATGTTTTCTGGTTGAAGCAAGGCCTTGATCTCATTTTGGCAATATTAGTAGAAAATGAACCAATTACACTCGCAGCAAATTCTGCTCGAGTACCAGCGCTTATGATAGCAGGGCCTGTTCCAGATCGCATCACCATGCCACAGCAGGTTCCTGATGCTCAGGAAAGCATGGATGGTACAGCACTATCGTTTGACTCTCTTGCCGCAAGGCATGCTCAGTTCTTAAATGATGCGAACAAGCTTGTGGTAATTTCTTGCGCTCTGAACAATGTGGTGCCCACGATACCTGTGTGGCTGCCTTTTGTACATTTTAAATATTTTTGTAAGATCTGAATGTTTGTTGTTCTGAAATCATGTAGGTGGCAGATATCATGGCTCCATTGAAGGAACTTGCATTTGCTGATCCCAATGTCGCATATCATTTGTGGGTGCTTGTTTTCCCAATTGTTTGGGTCACCTTACATAAAGAGGAACAAGTTGCCCTAGCTAAGCCAATAATTGCACTTCTATCGAAAGATTACCACAAGAGGCAGCAGGGTTGCAGACCTAACGTTGCCCAGGCACTTCTTGAAGGTCTTCATTTGAGCCATCCTCAACCACGCATGCCTAGTGAGCTTATCAAATATATTGGAAAAACTTGCAATGTGTGGTATACTGCAATTGCCTTACTCGAGAGTCATATGGTGCTTATGAATGAGGCTAAGTGCTCCGAGTCATTGGCTGAGTTATACAGACTTCTTAATGAAGATGACATGAGGTGTGGATTATGGAAGAGAAAATCAATCACTGCAGAAACAAGAGCTGGTCTTTCACTTGTCCAGCATGGTTACTGGCAACAGGCACAAAATCTATTTTACCAGGCTATGATTAAAGCTACTCAGGGAACATACAATAACACCGTCCCAAAGGCTGAAATGTGTCTTTGGGAAGAACAGTGGTTATCCTGTGCGTCTCAGTTAGGCCAGTGGGAAGTCTTAAAAGAGTATGGAAAAGGGGTGGAGAATCATGAAATTCTTTTAGACTGCCTCTGGAAGGTTCCTGACTGGGCATATCTGAAGGATAATGTAATTTCCAAAGCTCAGGTAGAAGAGACACCAAAGTTACGCCTTATTCAAGCATTTTTCACTCTCCATGACAAAGGTACTAATGGTGTTAGCGAAGCAGAGAACCTCATCAGCAAAGGTGTTGAACTCGCACTAGAACAGTGGTGGCAGTTGCCTGAAATGTCTGTACAGTCGCGAATGCCTCTGCTGCAGCAGTTTCAGCAGTTGGTTGAAGTAAAAGAATCATCCAAAATACTGCTTGACATCGCAAATGGTAACAAACCAGCTTCAGCAAGCTCTGGTGCCAATTCCAACCCAAATAACTCATTTGCTGATCTCAAGGATATTCTTGAAACTTGGAGACTTCGTACACCCAATGAATGGGATAATATGACTGTTTGGTATGATCTGCTCCAATGGAGGAATGAGATGTACAATTCAGTAATAGAGGCATTCAAGGACTTTATTCAAACAAATCCTCAGCTTCATCATCTTGGCTACCGAGACCAGGCTTGGAATGTGAATAAGCTCGCGCACATAGCTCGCAAGCAAAGTCTTCCTGAAGTTTGTGTAACTATACTTGACAAGATGTATGGTCATGCTACTATGGAAGTTCAGGTCTGTCCCTACCATCACCACGATAGTACTTCATATTGCAGTATCTTTTTATTTTGTTAGTTCACTATTGCTCTGGTTGCAGGAAGCATTTGTGAAGATATGTGAACAAGCTAAGGCTTACTTAGAAATGAAAGGTGAACTAGTCAGTGGTCTTAACTTAATCAATAATACCAATTTGGAATTTTTCCCTGTGAAGAACAAAGCAGAAATATTTCGTCTCAGAGGTGATTTCCTGCTAAAAATGAACGAATGCGATCCTGCAAATCAGTCTTATTCGAATGCTATAACTCTTTTTAAGCATTTGCCCAAAGGATGGATTAGCTGGGGAAATTACTGTGATATGGTATGCTGACCATCCTTTTATGTCGTCAATAGTAACCCTTCAAATTTCCACATTTGTTGACCTTAAGTTTGATTGTTCTCTTTGCAGGTTTTTAAAGAAACAAAAGATGAGGTTTGGCTTGAGTATGCAGTCAGTTGTTTTTTCCAGGGCATCAAATATGGAGTTTCAAACTCAAGGAGCCATCTAGCTCGAATTCTCTACCTTCTTAGCTTTGATGGACAAAATGAACCCGTTGGAAGGGCTTTGGATAAATATCTTGAGCAGCTGCCTCATTGGGTTTGGCTTTCATGGATACCTCAGTTGTTGTTGTCATTACAGAGAAGTGAAGCCCAGCACTGTAAATTGGTTTTGCTGAAGATAGCTCAAGTTTACCCACAGGTATAATCATTGTCAGCTGTGTTATTTGTTTTTCTTGTAAAAATAGCATATTCCCTTTTTTTGCATGTACATATCTGAGACATGCTGTTACAGGCATTGTATTATTGGCTTCGTACATACTTGATGGAACGCCGTGATGTTGCTACTAAAACTGAAATGGGAAGAAACATGTTGGCTCAGCAGCGCATGCAGCAAGCTATGATGGCAAACAATGCGGCCAATAACTTACCTGACGGGAGTGCAAGGGCATCTAATCATGCAGGTGGTAACATGACTTCTGACAACCAGTCTCATCAAGCTTCCCAATCAGTTGGTGCCGCAGGTTCTCATGATGGTGGTAATGTCCAAGGACATGATCTGGACAGATCTACTGCTGAAGGTGGCACAAATACTAGCCATGATCAAGGTCAACAGAGTTCTACAGGTGCTGAGGGCTCACAAGTTCTGCTAAGGCGTAATAGCGGACATGGGTGGGTAACTTCTGCAGCAAGTGCATTTGATGCTGCAAAAGACATAATGGAAGCTCTTAGAAGCAAACATACTAATCTAGCCAATGAGCTTGAGGTAAGAAATAATGACATTATGTTCTCTGAACTCATGTTAATGAGGATAACTGGATAAGCATTAGTTTATTTATTTTGCTACTTTTTTTTTTTTGTTTTCTTTTACGGTATTAGGCTGGGTGCTTGGTAATACTGAATTTCAAGGCTGATTTGTTTGCCTGTCTAGAAAAAACATAACAGAGTGGATAAGATTCTTACAGTACAAGCTATTTGTCTTAGTTTAGTTATACAATTAGTTTAGCAAAACCATGAAGCATTTAGAAAGGGCAGAGGGTGATGAATAACCAATTTAGAAAGACAGAAAGTGGTGAATATGTACTTGTGATTATAGAAGCTCATGAATTTTCCAAGAGTAATTTCATTATATGTGCTGATTGGTGGTTATCTAATGTTGTTTATTGCTGGTTCAGCTTTTACTGTCAGAAATTGGATCACGATTCGTTACTCTGCCTGAGGAAAGGCTTCTTGCTGTGGTTAATGCTCTGCTTCATCGATGCTACAAGTATCCAACTGCAACCACTGGCGAGGTTCCACAATCTCTCAAGAAGGAACTCTCTGGTGTATGCAGAGCTTGCTTCTCACAAGATGCTGTTAACAAGCATGTTGATTTTGTGAAGGAGTACAAGCAAGATTTTGAACGTGATCTTGACCCAGAGAGTGCTACTACTTTTCCTGCAACCCTTGCTGAACTTACAGAGAGATTGAAACACTGGAAGAACATTCTTCAGAGTAATGTAGAGGATCGGTTCCCAGCAGTATTAAAGCTGGAGGAAGAAAGCAAAACACTTCGGGATTTTCATGTTGTTGATATTGAACTCCCAGGGCAGTACTTCACAGATCAGGTTGGTTGCATTTTTACTCTAGTAAACATATCACTTGCAGGCAGTGCATAATCAAATGGATACTTCATTACATTGTTTTCAATGTAACATTGCTCTATTATGTGAAAATGCCACCAGCCTTTCTATGTTCTTATACTATCTATCTGCTGTAGGAAATCGCGCCTGACCACACTGTTAAGTTGGACAGAGTCGGACCTGACATTCCAATTGTCCGGAGGCATGGCAGTAGCTTTCGACGGTTGACACTCATTGGTTCTGATGGTTCACAGCGCCATTTTATTGTTCAAACATCACTGACTCCGAATGCTCGGAGTGATGAAAGGATGCTGCAGCTATTCCGTGTGCTAAATAAAATGTTTGACAAGCACAAAGAATCTAGGCGGCGGCATCTCACTATCCATACTCCTATAATTATTCCTGTTTGGTCCCAGGTAAAATATTCTTTTTCCCCCTTCTCTTACATAGTACTGCGGCAATAATTTATTATTGTGAACTTTTTTGCTTCCAAGTACCTAGTACATGGAGTTCTTGACGTGACACCATTTTTTTCTTTTTAGGTGCGGATGGTTGAGGATGATTTAATGTATAGCACTTTTCTTGAGGTGTATGAAATTAACTGTGCACGGCATAATAGAGAAGCTGACTCGCCTATTACAATTTTCAAAGAGCAGCTTAATCAAGCTGTTTCAGGGCAGCTCTCTCCTGAAGCAGTTGTGGAGCTACGTCTGCAAGCATACAATGAGATTACAAAAAATATCGTTAATGATAATATCTTCTCCCAATATATGCACAAGATTCTGCCAACTGGCAACTACCTCTGGACCTTCAAGAAACAATTTGCAATCCAAGTGGCTCTCTCCTGCTTCATGTCGTATATGTTGCAGATTGGTGGCAGGGCTCCTAATAAAATTCTGTTTGCTAAAAATACTGGGAAGATCTTCCAGACTGACTTCCATCCAGGTATTATTCATGACAGTAATCGATATTTCTGAATACACCCCAAGGAAGATTCTGATTGTTCATTTATTCCTTTGTAGCTTATGATCCAAATGGAATGATCGAGTTCAACGAGCTTGTTCCATTTAGGCTGACACGCAACCTGCAAGCTTTCTTCTCGAATTTTGGTGTTGAAGGTCTCATTATGTCTGCCATGTGTTCTGCTGCCCAGTCAGTGGTTTCTCCTAAAGTGAGCATTCACACCCAGCATGCTTTTACATTTCGACATCAATAAATGGTTATTGTACGGTAGCCCAAGACGGTTAATTAGAAATTATTTACCATGCTTTCATGGGGAGAGTCAGCGAATGCCACTGAATGATTTCCTTGTCTCACATTTGGGCTTGGACTCACCTTGTGAACAGCAAACAGGATTTCCAATTCCAATGTCATAAAAGTAATTTATCCCTATTTATTGTGGTTGTAGTGGACCTTGCATATTTTTTGTTTGATATGATTTTATGTTGATGTTTTCCCCCATGTACTTTCTTAGCTTGGAAATTCTGATTGGATTGTTTTCTTGTGTTTCAGCAAAGCCAGCACATTTGGCATCATTTGGCTATGTTTTTCCGTGATGAACTGTTATCTTGGTCATGGAGACGGCCTCTAGGCATTCCATCAGTCCCTGTCGCTGCTGGAATGATCAACCCATCAGATTTCCAACAGAAGGTGGTAAACAATGTGGATCATGTCATCAATCGTATCAAGTCAATATCACCACATTATCTGGCTGAGGAGGTGTGCTATTTCTTGTCTCTTGATTTGTGCCTTTCCAGATGAGATTATATATACTATGATACTTCTGATTGCCCTGTACAAAATAGAGAATAAAAAATGTTTTTGTGGGAGTATCAATATGGCAAAAGGGTCAGGTTATTTGGATGTAGTTCTAGTTTGGTATTTGGACATGTAGTTCTAGTTTGGTATTTGGACATGGCTACGTGGTTTTGAGATTATCAACTATTGTAAATTGTATCTGGGGCTTTGGTGTTTTGCCAATGATAACTCAGGTGCATATCGTTGATGCAAATGCTGCATCTGACTGACGATTCATCTCCTGTTGTACCAGGAGGAGAATGCGACCGAGCCACCACAGTCGGTACAAAGAGGCGTCACTGAGCTGGTGGAAGCGGCGTTGTCGTCGAGGAACCTGTGCATGATGGATCCGACATGGCACCCATGGTTTTGAAGGCATCGAGCACCTTTCTGATGATTGTAGCCTGACCAAACAGCTGGCATGTGCTTAGTAGTACCTGGTAGTCTTCTCGTAGATACATACTGTACATATTTCCTTGCCCGACAACTCTGGTTGAGACTAGAAACTCCGTGTGTTATTTATGTAGATAAAGCCAGGGCTCCATCCTGCCCTGTGTTCGCTACTTCGCTGCTGTATTGGCGTAGCTTATCTTAATCTAATCTAAGGTTAATTAAAGAGAGATTGATCTAGCATTATTACTTGCCTTCTGTTACGGATGCGAAGATAAAAATTGCTTCAAAAAAAAAAAAAAGAAGATAAAATCGTTTGGCAAGCAGGTTGAGGTTTGAAGTGACGTGCAGGTCGGGTCTTGAGTCTAGACGGGTTAATCTATATACCCCGTGTTATTATACTGAACGGTCGGTCGTGGGTGGGTGTTGCGCTTGCACGGTTTTTTGACGTGCCGAGTGCGGAGCCAAGCACCCAGCAGTAGGTTTCGTTTCCAACAAGGTCGTGACTCGTGACGGTGCGCTGTCCCTCCCGACGGTAGTTACGCACCGACGTCCGTGCCGAACTAACCAAGCACCTTACATTTCATTTATTTATTATTACTTTTTTCCTTGGGTTTTCTATTTACGGAGTCGCAATCCCCAATTGGTGCATGAGAAGCACCGACAGTGGCAGGAAAGGGAGAGAGTTTTATACAGAATGAAATGAAACTTGGATGAAAATATCTACTCTTAATGTAAAATTTTATTCTAGAGTTTTATAGGTATTTAGTTCTAAGACTTATAGAGAGTTAATAATTGTGCCCAGGTGGAGAGTTTTATATAGAATGAAATAAAACTTGGATGAAAAAACACCCACTCTCAATACAAAGTTTTATTCTAGAGTTTTATAGGCATTTAATTATAAGACTAGTTTTATAGGCATTTCTTCTCTCTTTTCGTTAAAACAGTCATGTCCATGTTCACTTTTCTTATAATCCGTCTTTTTTAGCTTGTTTTTTTTCAGCCGGAACATTGTTTTTCTCTCACAACAAATCAGCCGGAACAGTATTTCGGCTTGTTTTTTCAGCGAAGCGAGCAGGGCCCATGTCATCAAAAATGCATATATGGTAGGTTATTAAATGTAAATGAAACTCAAATGAGACTGGCCTAAAAACGCGTATTGAGCTGGAAGATGAAAGAAATTGGATGGAATACTCCATTTTCGTACACGGTTACAGTTGTTTGATCTGAAATTTTGTTAGCTTTCATGAAAATAACCCGGAAATATTTTCTGTATTAATTCCCCCCGTCTTACTGTTCTCTACGAGTCCGGAAAGGAGACACTAAACGTAAGCACTGAATGAATCATTTAAATGTCCACAAAGCAGAACCGTAAAAGTGGCCTACAAAATCACTGCTTCGAAGTACCATTTATTCATCTACTCTGGATCAATTTATTGCCTTTGCAAAAACAAAAAAACAAAAAAAAAGAGGATCGCCTTTGGGACAGGCCGGAAGGATGCGTGAAGGGAATGGCGGTGGTTGGTGACAGCAACAGGCCTCCTTCCGCCTATACCTGTCGCCTCTGCCTCACTCTTCCTTCCACTAGTGGCAGGTCGAGCTGTTGCGGCAGGCAGGCAGGCAACGCCGTGGTGATCTGAGAGGATGGATTCCAGGATCTCCCTCCTCTGCTCCCTCGTCCTCGCCTCCTCCCTCCTGCACTGCGCCAGATCCGACGGTAAGCTTCAGGCTTCTCCCCCCTCTGCCCCTGAGCCCCTCCCTTGTCGTGACGCTAGTCTCCGTTTCGGTCTCTCTGCTCGTGGTCGTGGATCTGGTGCGTTCTTTGCTTGGTTGCTTTAGTGCCAGCGATTCCATTCGTCCGTCCTCCCCTCTGCTGCAACCAGGCGAACGTAGTTTTGAGCCACGGTGATCTGGCAGTGTGCACGAGCTGTGACTTGGACGACTTGGTTAGTTGCTGAGAATTGTTTTAGCAGCCGCACGAGCTCAGGTTTCGTGGGTCTGTTTTATATAGGCTTGGCTTGAGCTGTCCGTTCGGTAGTATTAAGAAATGGGTCGCTCGGTCACTCCCTGTTGCTACTAGTAGAGTTGGCGTCAAGCGCGATGCAGGCAAGTGGCGCAGTTTGAGTGACCGGCAATTTTAGTGTATTTACCTCAGATGTGGCTGACTGTCATTCCTCTTTAAAAACCATGTGTCAATTGAATGTTCATCAGGATGCATTCGGCTGGATGAATTATGGTTTTGCATATTATAATTGTCATGTCTTCTGAAGATGAATAACACGGGGGGAAAAACTACTTTGCACTGGCAACACTCTGATACATTCATTACACATGGTAGGAAATTGATGGAATGGAACTGTGTCGATTCTGCGTTGTTCTCTCATACTGAACCTTTTCAGGCAATGACGCTCAGCTTCTCAAGGGCATCAACAGCTACAGGTCCTCCCTCAAGGTCCCGGCGCTGACGGAGAACAAGAACGCGGCGTGCCTCGCTGAGCAGCTCGTGAAGCAGTTCAAGGGGCAGCAGTGCACCAACACCACGGGCGCCAACACCGTCATCGGCACCGAGCAGCAGTTCCCGGACTACCCAAAGTACCTGGACCACTGCCACCTCAATGCGTCGGTGACCGAGGACGGCCAGGTGATGCCGGCGTGTGTGCCGGGCCTCGTCCCCGCCGTCGTGCTCACCAACTACACCAAGTCGCAGTACAACCGGTTCCTGAATGACAGCCAGTTCTCCGGTGTCGGGATCGCTAATGAGGGCGACTGGGTGGTGGTTGTCCTCAGCACCAGCACGGGCTCCGGTGACTACTCGCCGGCTCCGCCGGGCTCCAACTGGGCGGTTTCGGCTCAGCCCTTCAGCCAACTGGTTCTTTTGTTGATAGGATTTGTGATCTTGCTGATGAAGTGAGAGTTTGGTCTGCATACACCACAGGGTGGAGCTTACATTTGTGTGGCTTATCCCGCTTATGTTTTAACATTCAGGCTACAACTGAACTTGGCAGGTCTCATTGGCGTTGTTAAGCATTTTTCAGTTGAAAAGATCGGTTACGCTTGGACGACTGCAAAGTTAATACGGCACGTTTGCTTGTGGCAGAGCTAAGGTTGGCAAGATTGTGCGTGTTATTTTGCCTTTAGTTTGGGCGGGATTACCTGAGTTCGGGCGTCGCCGTCGAGACGAGGGATTGCTTGTGATGACAAAACTAAAATAATCTATTTTTCTAAAGGCAATGTATCAAGTGCAAACCAACCTCTCCGTGCAAGCCGTACAAACCAACTGCGGGGGAGAGGTGGAGGGGGGATTTGCAAAAGTGTAATCACCTCTCCACTTTTGCAAATCCCCCCTCCACCTCTCCCCCGCAGTTTGTTACACTTTTGCAAATCCCCTCTCCACCTCTCCCCCGCAGTTTGTTACACTTTTGCAAATCCCCCCTCCACCTCTCCCCCGTAGTTGGTTTGCACGGTTTGCACGGAGAGGTTAATTTGCACTAGATATGTTCCCTTTTCTAAAACCAATGATTATTTAACAAGATACACAGCTTAGAATCGAAAAATTAACGCGTATATATAAGTGAAATGTTTCATAAGGTACACGCCAAGAACATGTAGAATGTTTATTACAGCATCTTAGCTACCAAAAAATATTTGGGCTGAGGAGATTATGCCATCTGTAACCTGGGTGACTATGACACTTTGCTCGCTCTTATTCTTCGGGAACACATGACCCGTCGAAGAACATAATGGCCTGACCATGGCATCGCAGTCCTCGCATGGCTCCAAATCCTCTCTAAGAACCACCCTCTCTAAATTGGGTGCCCTCCCTAGTACAGCTCTGATAAATGCTATTTGTTGTTCTAGTGGTCTAAAGCCAACCACTTGGAGCTCCTTCAGTAGCAAGTTCTTAGCAGAGCTGTCCAACTCCAGTGCCCAGGAAGGGTTACTTCTTTCAGGGAAGGTAATCCGTCTCGCCTCATCATCCACTTTGCAAGCGTGTTCCCACACCTACATTTGCATGAGAAACTTTGTTATCCACTCTACAACTAGATTGGCCACAAGGAAATGTGTTTAAAAATTGCAAGAAAAAGCTCACATCAACATTAATTTAACGTTAGAAAATCACCTGAATATGTAATAGCTCGATGGACGGAGCCGCTTCAAGAAATGACATTGTCCATACAAGGTCATAATCAACAAAGATACCGTGTATAGAAAGCTTCCGGAGCATCTTGAATGCAGTGCATAGTTGCTTTTATTTCGGGGTGCATCCAAAGCTGACAAGAAAAGCAAACATAAGAATGAATCTTTTAACCAAATATTGAGATCAGTATTATCATATCATAATGGTAAAAGTCTGGGAAATTAACCTCAGCTAAAATCAGGTCACTTTAACACACTAAGCTGCACTTATTTTGGGATGAAGTACAAAGAAGGCATAAAGAGTGCCACATCATCACGTTGTCTCTATGTTCCTAAATTCAGCTTGATGAACAAAAACTATCCAAAAGGAGGCTCAATATAGATCATACAATCTAGAACTCACTAGAACTATATTCGAAAAACCATAGTACAATTTAGAACAACCAATTTCTATGAACAAATAAACTAAATAGGCAATGTAACCAGTTCCAAAACAAGTATTTTTTTCTACTTAGGTACAGTGCTCTAGATAACCGATTACCTTCAATCAATGATAATACCTAAATTTCTCGTTCGGAATTGCAAGAGAGTGAATGGAAGATTAATCCAGTTGTATATCAAAACAGGAGGGGAATTTGCCACTTCCAAGAATAATGGTAAAGCAGAATGAACTAATAATTACCTTTTCTCCTTGGAAATCCAATGTGAGGGTATGTATGCCTGAGGTTCCACTTAGAAGCTCACTTAAATTAAACCCTTTATGATGATGTGTTGCACCACATAAGAGGTGTAGTTCCTTGAGGGATGGGACAAAACCAAATGACAAAGGGGAATGGTGAGATGTCCAAGTATCCCAATGAAGCATCTCCAGTTTCGGAAGACAGACAACCTCAAGTTTCTCAAAGCAACACGAATAGAACTCCAACACACTGACATTAGAGTTTGGTGCATCTATTTTCCATAGAGATCGATGACCAGCATCACAATGAAAGAAAGCTATATGCTTCAATTGCTTGCAGCAGTCAAATAAGACATGATGTATGTCCCATTTAGCAAAGCACACATTGTATAAAGAAAGCTTTGTGAGGCAAACAAGCACACTAGGGTAGGCAATAAAAAATCCATTCACATCCTGGGCCTTTTGTAGCATTTCCTCGTCAAGGCAGTCAGAAGGTTCCTTCTCATCCAGAATTACAAGATCAAGGCCTTTTAATATACCATTGTCAATTGCATTACTCAACAGGGAGCCAATTTCGCACGAGAAGCTGTTGAGCAAGTAGATATTAAGATGCAGACTCGTAATAGCGGATTCATTTCGTGGTTTCGACAACAAACTCCTTGTTGCTTTGGTTATAGACGTCATCGCATGATCTATTTGACCCACCTCAATAGGATTTGGGCTTGGAATAGGTAGGAAATCCGTGACATCAATGCTGAGCTCAGGCAGCAACCAAGGCAAGTTTCTCCAACGAGTTGATAGTGCACTTGCCCTTGCAGTTGTAGTTATGTCAACTCTCAGCAAGGTTGATACTAAAACATCGTCAGTCAACATGCTGAGCCTATCGTCCTCCCCGGATTGCTACAGACACGTATATTCATTTGCTTTAGCTCGTGCAGACAGAAACATGTCAAAATGGTAACGGCAAAGAGACTAAAACATGGGGGAAAAGACCATGGTAACCAATTGGACGTGAAATCTTATCTATGGAGAGTATGTGCAATGGGTCGACCTTAAAAAATACCTATCATACACCGAGAACCTATTGTATATTATAATGAATTTTAAAAATAAAAAAATTTATTACCTAATACATTACAGTTTCTATTGAGATTTTTTTTTGTGTGTGTGTAGCTAGAGAATTGCTGATGCTCTAGTAGTTGTTTATGTAGGAGGCTAACTCCCAGCTTCTGCCAAATTGTTTGACAATTTTGCATGCACTTGCTGCAATAAATCTCTAGCGTGATTCCTCAAAAAAATAAATCTCTAGCGTCATTCATGAATAACTTGGAAGATAAAAGTATTCTTCAAAATAGTGCTGTCTCAGTCACTAGGAATAGCATGAATGGAGTAACAATGCAATAGGCATGGACAGAAAAGAGCAGAGGAAGAAGGGTGAAGAATAAGACTTACAACACTGCGCCCGTTATTTGACACCATTGATAACTGGAATCACTGGCGGAGCTATGTGGCGGCCATAGTGGGCCATGGCCCGCCCTTGCCTCCGTGATTTGCTGAAGCCCCTGTCCCTGCATGAGCTGTGAAGTCTGCGAGTTAGCAGTAAGTTTGCATGCGCCCTGAGTCTGCATGCATTGTAAGCCAGCGGCTAGGTCAGGCACGCATGTCTCTACATAGACATAGAAATCATGTAGCATTTCCTCCATCTAAAAAATAAAAAAAAATTATGTAGCAGTGGTCCCACCCGCTCGGCTCAGCCGTTACTCCATTAGCCTGTTTTCTTTGCTTCTGTTGCTATGCGCCGTTTTGAGTCTTGTTGATTTTTCTATCTTTTTTCCTTCCTAACTTTTCAATCGATAAATTCTACATAGTATGTGTATTAGAATTGCTAATTGAGTAATATATATTGGGGTTGTCAATCGATATCTTATGTTGCTTTTTTATAGAATTTTTTATGCTCAGCTATTGTGTTGTCAAATGTATTTTGTATACTGTGACTTAATTATAAGTACTTCCATTAATTTTGTTCACTACTTATGTACATATAGATTCAATCGACAAATCCCCCCTTCAGGCTCCGCCACTGACCGGAATGGCTTGGCTTTTGCAGTTTCGACTAACTGTGTCGACAACTGAGATGGAACCGTGTTGAGAAAAACTCAATAAGGTCTTATTTATATATATATAAAGGGGTGCATCAGCCCTCCTAAACAGAAGAGAAGTCCTGCTCCGACTCGAACCGGGAGGCTCCGGTGTTCCAACAATCCCGAAATCGAGGCGAACCGCCCAGAGATGTTGCTCTGCTTCCTTACGGCCTTACCGGCAGGGAAAGAAGAAATCGCCCGTCCAGTAGATAGAGTAAAGGGTAGGGGAAAGGGCAGAGACCCGGACGACCGCAAGAGAAACCGCCAGCGCCAGGTGAGGAGGCGCGGCGCCGGCCGGCGAGCGGAGACCGGAGGAGGGGCAGGGGTTGCGAGTGGCGACTGCCGAGTGGGGCGTGATGGCCCAGCCCATTCACAACCCAAACTATCTCGTGGGTTCATCACCGCATGCTGAGCTCGGATGGCCCTTTTGACTTCGCTGTCACGCTATACAGAATGTTTACTACGTCCTAAAATCTCCTCAAACAAAAAAACTACGTCCTAAAAAAATGATCGGCACTGCCAGAGTTTGAGCATCCGGATGCACGCTCGCGTCCGGACGAATGCGGTTACAGTCGGTTTTCCCTCTGTTTCGTGCGTCCACGCGTGGGCTCGCGTTGCTGGGACTTCGCTCGACCGCGCCTCCTTGCGCCGGCCCAGTGCTTCTCCTTGCGCCAGCGACGTCGTCAGGTGGGGCAGGCAGCGGAGCAGGAGCAACGACACGAGCAGCAGGGAGAACGGGGGCAGGTGCACGGAGTAGCGGGGCGGGCGCGCAGAGCATCAGCAGGAGGAGCGGGGCAGGCGCATAGAGCATCGGCAGGAGGAGCGGGACGGGCGGTGGAGTTGGAGGTGGACAGGTGATGATGAATCGACTGGATATTGTCACATGGCCCCACACCTCCGCATCCGTCCGATACTCCAATAAAGGTCAAACGCTCGGATCAAAGAATTAAACGAAAAGGATATAAATTTTATGTTTGATACTAATTATTTCTTTTCAAGTTTGAAAAAATATCAACATTTGCACCTCCAAATAAATTTACTAATATATATATATATATATATATATATATAATCATACTTATTTAATATAACTATAGAAAAATGTTAGTATTTTTTCTATAGAGGTGGTTAAAGTTAAATTGTTCGATTCTTTGGGAAGTGAGAATTGTATTATTTTTTAGACAGGAGGGACTACGTGAGATGCATGGTTGATGTTGTTAAATTCATCACAAAAATATGTTCACAACATGTAATTCTATTTATGAAAGGGTTCTTAGTTTTTTTTTTTTTGGGGGTGGGGGGGTAATCACTACTGATAGTGTCACCTTGTACATTGTGCAAATGCGCAGTATCGGTTGGATCAGATGGTTAGGCAGCAATGATTCATATTTAAATATGAATTACTGTTGGTTGGATAGTTAGATGTGAAGCAAAATGCAGTACTGTACAGGAAAAGTAAGTTTCTTGAGAGAGAGTGGGGGGAGAGAGGGAGATTACAAAGCAATCACATCTATTCGATGAGGAAAAAAATCGCAAGCTATCCACATTATCTTGTGCCTAGTTGAGGACATCCAATGGGAAGCGGCAAATCCAAGTTATCAACAATCCTGAATGTTCTTGGGACCATCTTGTCAACATACAGCGTGCCTTCAAGATGATCACACTCATGCTGGAGGATGCGTGCTTGCCATCCTGAAGCCTGTACCTTAATGGCGCTCCCATTTCGGTCCAGACCTGAAACCTCAACGTCTAGATGCCGCTCCACGACCGCCCTATATCCATCAACACTAGCATCCCGGGAAGACAAGTATGAGATCATACACAGTACAATCTAGCACAATGCAATGCAGCTTCTGTATTCACAGAATAAAAGTATCATCATATATAAACTACCAGAGACAACTGTTAATATTGCACAAAGGAGCATTCTACTATGTGTACCTGAGACATCCCTCAAAGAACAGCGCAGTTCTTTTACTTGTGTTCTTAATCTTGGGATTGATAATGACCTGGGTTCAAGGAAAAGCACAGGGCATGAGAAAGTTCCAAATGTTCTATGGGCGCCGAATGCAACACAATGTGGCAAAATGTACCGACAAGAAGATCAAAAGGACGGCGATCTTGTGCTTCGATGTCCTTCTTGGGTGCATAGCTGATGTACTCTTGCGTATCCTCGAGAACAATAATCTGTAATTCGGTGATTAATTCTCAGAAACATCAGCACGTTTGGTGCCCTTGATGATTGAACACCAGCAATCGAACTCCCAAGGCGAAGCGAAGAATCAGCCATACCCTGAGCGGGACGCCGATCTGCGGGGCGGCGAGGCCGACGCCTGGGGCCTTGCGCATGACATCGACCATCCGGTCGATGACGCCCTGGACCTTCTCGGACCGCACGTCCCCCGGCGCCACCTCCTGCGCGGGCTCGTGCAGGACGGGGTCGCCGGCCTTCACGGTCCCCGGCGTCACCGCCATCGCCGTGGACGCGCCGCCGCCCTTCCCGCCCAGCAGCCCGGATAGCCAGCCCCCGCCGGCGTTCGCCCTCACGCTTCTCCACCGCCTACCGCCGACGGCACTAGCGGCGACTGCGGAACCAGTGAGCGGCGCGGCGGGGGCGAGGAGGAAGGTGGCGGCAGCGGCAGCGGCGGCGGCTGAGAGAGGACGGAGGAGCACAACCATCTTCTGGACCGCTGGATGGAGTGGGTCACTGGGTGGAGTTGGTGACTGTGACGTGGCAAGTGGGCTGGGCTTTTAAAGATACTGGGGTTGAGGCCCAACTATATTCTGTCCATGGCCCAACTATATTGTTGCCCGTTCCCTAAATAAATAAAAAAACTATATTGTTGCCCGTGAGCACGCCGATGGAGCTGGACTGCTGGAGGCGTCGCTGAGGATGAGGAGCGGCAACAGCTGAGACCCTCTGCGGTCAATTCATCTTTACCTTTGTCACTTACAGGTAGACCCGATGCTCATCAGGCCAGTGACAAATGCACCGTGAACCACCAACAAACCATGGGCCCTCAGCTTCCTCTTCCATGTCTTGTTAGATGCAGTCAGATTCACATCGATCTATGTGTTGGGGTGGATTTAAATGGAACTTTGACTAAATTCTACCCCAATCCATCCCAACATGTGGATGTGGATTGAGGCAATATCCAAACAAGGCCTCAAAGTAGACACCTCACGGAAGAAAGGCAAGCATGGTACTCTAACAGATATTTCACAAATTCTGGTCGAATCCAAACAAGGCCTCAAAGTTGACACCTCACGGAAGAAAGGCAAGCATGGTACTCCAACAGATATTTCACAAATTCTGGTCGAAGCAACAGCCTCACATGTTTATATGCAAGTAAGATACATACAATAAATATATGTGTCGAGCGACACCATGCGTTGGACATTACATTCCCCAGAGGGAGGAGAAAACCCCAACTGAAAAAACTAGTCTGTTTATGCACATCAGCATACACCTCCTGTGATCTAACAGCCCCACGGGTGCTCCAAAAACCTGACAAAAACTAGATCCAACGAAGCACACAGGGTCTGTCAAAAATCCGGAGGAAAAAAACACTTCCACATCGCAAAGTATCGCCTGTACAAACTTCAGCGTGGGCCAAACGACGGTAGGAAAGTAAAGATCATATACTGGTGTAACACCAGTGAAAAACAATATAGTGAACGTAAATGTGCCAGATTTTCAGTTGCCAAACTGTCCCTTCAGATCCTTCTTTTGGTGAGGATGATCTTAGGGTTTGGGAGATGAAGGTGGCTGCTGTCAACTGCTGTGTCCATTTCTTTAGACAAACTAGGATGAGGCTGTACCTGAGAGATCGAGTTCCAAATAACATCAGAAGCTTAAAAAGTTAAAACACAAATTATAATGAAAAGGGCAATCTGTAGCTAAACCCAAAACCTAGAAGGGAATAGCTAAAACTTTTTGAACTTCTCCTAAAGGAATCAATTAAGCCCATATTAAACACGAGGAAGCTATCAGTGCATCTAACCTCATAGCTGCGGAGGAGACTGGCAATCAACATCGATATTGCAAGAACCACAAACTTCTGCCCAACACATTCTCGACTCCCAGAACCAAATGGAAGAAATGATTCAGTCTTGGCACACTCGCTGAAAATATTTATCCTATTTGATCCTTTAGGTGCTCCTAATATTTCTGCAGTATATTAAGGAAACAATGCAAGAGATTAATCACCAAGAATCTTGCAAAAAGGGGGAAAATGGTAAAAGCCTAACAAATGTGTGACTAATCTATATGCAGACTGACAATAATGAAGTGATGGATATAATCTTCAAAATGCTGTTACAAACGGCCTGCTTATACATTCAATAATACTTTTTCATGTCATAAATGAAATATCTCCCAACACAGAAAAGTGTAAAAAGAAGAGGGAGCGAGAGAAGACCTCCAATATCAACGTCCTTTTTAAGGAACCGATGAGGATTGAACTGGTCAGCATCATCACCCCAAACAGAAGCATCCATTTGCACGAGATGCAAAGGAACTACTAATGTTGATCGAGCTGGCACAGTGATACCTGAGCCAAGCCTCAAATCTGGACTCAAGGAAAATGAAATCCAAAGTGAGTCAGAATGGAAAACATGTGGTAATCAAAACTGGCCTACAGGTGACTTATGAGCTTCTCTTGTGGCTAGATGTACAGATCAATCAGTATCGAACTTCAAAACATGATGATCTCGACACAAAAAAAAAAGGATTGGCAAAGGCATTCAAAAGGTCTATAACATGCGTACCATGTTTCAAAGAACATCGCTGCAGAAGAGGTCCAGCAGGCAAAAGGCGAGCAGATTCACATAAAGTAGCAAGTAGGACTTGCATCCTAAGCAGATCGTCGACCTCCAGTTTAGATGATTCATTAGAGACTGAAACAATCTCTGCGTGTAGCTGAAAATAGAAGTAGCATGAGTGGAGAGGTGTAACTCACACATAAAATATGGGTGGATAATTGTGGTCCATCCCTTCTAATATATATAATGATTGAAGGGCCTTCTAGATTGTCCACACTATTGTAAGATGAGTGAAGTTACATTTTAGAAACCTTTCTATGCAGTCAATGCAACACAAAATGAGATTCTTTCTTATTTAAATAATTAACATGTAAAAAATCCATGAGAGCTGTATTCATTTGAATAAGAAAACACCAACAACCATTCATTAATGTTAATATCATAAGCGAGCAACTTAAATAGTTTGCAACAGAGAAAATAAAGGAGCCAATACATACCTGATCTTGCAATTCTGGGAACAAGACAAGCCTTGTCAAAATGTTACCAATCAAGTTAGCAGAAGCGGAAATACCATGCAACATCAAACCCAATGATGTTTCCAAATATTTCCTCTTCTGAATTAAGTGGTCCTCCAGCAGCCCCATGGAGACAATGACTTGCCATTATGTTGTCTAAAACATGTGTATTTGGATCTGTCCCTTCACTTTTCAGACAAGATCTCTGATCAAAATGATTAAGTGAACTGTTTTGTCTTGATTTTCTGATGACGCTCTCTGTTAATATCTTCAGCTTAGCACATAGGGTCCGATACCTCCTATAACTAGGCCTCCAGAACGGTGGAATTGCATAAGAAGCCCAGAAGCAACCATCCTTTGCGACTAGCATAAGAAGTTCCTCATAAGCAGCAGCGTCAGACCAATCGAAGAAGGCATCACCCAAAAGAGTTGCACCAATGATATTGAATGCCATGTGCTGGGAGAAAGATCTAGTGTCCATAAAATCCTTGGACATAATAGTGTTGACTCTATTCAGGACAGCATCGATAATTTTGAATGAGCTTTGATCGGCACCAACTGTAAGTTTTTCATTCAAAAATATTTTGAGAGAATCTCTTGTACTTTTGACCTAAAGATGCAGAACAAAAGGATTACAAGAAGTAATAAAAAGGTCAAAAGTAATTGAACATGCCCTCTGCCGATAAACAAGTGATAATGCATCAATACAGACTAGAAATAGGAGAAATGTAATACTGTAGAGCCCACATGGATTTTGTTGCATGGAGGCGCATACCTTTTGGAATAAGGACACAAACAAGCCAAGTTTTCCACAAGCTAAATTATATGTCCTCCCAGTCAATGGTAACTTGTCTTCAGCCTTTGTTAGCACCTCCTTAACTAGAGTAGGATCTATAACTGATACAAATAGCTGAGAGGGTCCTACCCACAGGCGAACAACTGGGCCATATCTCCCATGTAATTTTGACAGAAAACCTGCAAAATGAAATAGTTCAGAGGGGAAAGGACATCAGAATCGTTCAATGTGCTGTACACTGTTAAAGAACGACTCATCGTTGCCATAATAAGGCTCAAATGTCAAACAATTGTTTCCATCATTAGTAAAGACTCATAAAGTAGTAGATTGTTAGTTCACGATAGTAAATCTGCTAGCAATACAGAATATTTGATGGAACAAAGTAAGTTGAAGCTTTAATCGCATGGATTCTAAAGTGCTCAAGTGGGCCATCCTATGCCCATGCTCAAGAACAGCACTAACAATGCTGGATCACATGGGACCGAATATTATTCATCAACAAAATAATGCAGCAACCTATGTCTACCCATTTATGGCTGGTAGTATTTAAAACACAGCACCCTCAATGTTACGTCCACTTGCCTAGTAAGTTTTACACACACAAAAATGCACATTCCCAGGAAAACTAGCATATAAGTCCATATAACTTATAAGACATACAGTTTACAGAAATAAAATCCAACAGTGATGAGGAAGATTTGTCAATAATAAGAATTTGAAAAGTAACTTGATTTCCTCTTCTGCATACTACAACTAGATCATGTCAAAAACAGAAAACCTAATTCACACTATGACCCTAAAGTATAAAATTGTATCAAAGATATAAATATTCTGATCAAAATTCAAACGGCAAGACAAGGTCAATCACAGATCATCAGCGAACCTGCAGAAATAAATCGCTATTTAAGGTAACTGTGATGACCAGTGCAGTTGCTGCGTGGACAAAGCATCAAAGCTCAGTGAAGCAATTTTGCGAAGTATTGCGCCAATTGTACAAATCACATCTGATATTACCAGTAGCAGCCAAACAAAAAAAAAATGAACATGGATCGCTAGCGCATAGGCCCCCACCTCAAATGGTCTAATCCCACCTAGTCAACTCCCACCTAGATCACGCTATACTAAAGCGAAATTCCACATCAATCAATCCAAGCAATACGAAATCCCCAACAGATCAGGGTTAAAGTAGCTAGCTAGTGCCCAACATCTCAAGTAGCAAGGAGCTACAGAAATCTAGAATCGAATGTCTCCAATCTCCATCCAGTCACATCCAGTACCCAATCGAACATTACCCAAATGGCACATAGGCGCCGAGCAACTGAAACATACTGTACGGAAATTTTTTACAAGTGCAGAGGTCGCACCCGCGCCAAATCCCAATCCCATACCAACCACCAAGCTAACTGAACCCAACCAACTGAACCGAATACTGTTAAAATGAACAAGGAGTAAGGCGGAGAGAGGAACGGCCACCAACCAGTGATGTCGCCGCCGTTGCGCAAGATGGCGGCGAGTCCGGGCTCGGCGAGGAGCGCGCGGGGCCCCGGGATGCGGGAGCCAAGCGCCCAGAGGCGGAGCAGCGCGGCGACGCGGAGGAGCAGGACCCAAGTGACGGCGAGGAGGCCCGCCCACAGCAGCGCGTTGGTCCCGCGCCGCGCGTAGTCCCGGAGGAAGGCGCGGCCGCCGCCGACGCAGGCCGGCCAGGCGGCGGGGCCGGCGGTGATGAGCGCGCCCAGCAGGGTGAACGGCACGCCCGTGGCGTCGCAGGAGGAGGAGGAGGAGGAGGAAGCCATGGCCTCGAGGGAGGAGAGGGGGAGGGGTGGGAAGTGCAGCTGGCAGAGCTGCGAGGAAGGCAGCGAGAGGAGCTCGAGCTCTCCCGGGAAGAAGAGAAGAAAAGGGAGGACGACGGGACATTCGCCTACGGCTCCTCTATCTAGAAAAGTCTGACCCTCAACTATTGTTAGTCTGATTTTTTTTTCCGACCCCGGACTAGAAAACCCTATAATATTGGAACTATAACTGTTAAAACCATTCAGTTTTAACACATCGTCATGGAAGAGGCTGTTTTGTCCAGCGTAGAAAGGATTTAACCATACCACGCTGGCATTGACCGCCACGTAGGACGCTGGCCTGCATCTCAGTGACATGTGGGGCCCGTGCGTCACCCACTCATTCCCTCCCCTCCTTCCACTGGCTCCAGCAGCATTCGGCGACGACGGCATCTCCATCCCCGACGCCGGCCGCTCGCCCGAGGCCACATCGCCGACCGCCCCTCCACCGGCCTTGACCATGGATAGCTGACCCCGCCCACCCAATTCCGCCCCACTGCTTGGCGTCCGTCCCACCACGAGGAGCCAGCCCGCGCAGCCTCTTGCGCCACGGCCCTACGTGACCTCTGTGCCCCACCGGCGATCTCCACGCCCGCGGTTGCTGCTCCGCGCCTCGTGGCCGGGCGACCCCTGCGACGACCTCCACGCCTGTGGCCGGCTGCCCCCGACGAAGGTGCCCACGCCTGTGGCCTCTGTCCCTGTGTAGATTCGTGCCCACAGCCTGTTCCCATGATCTGCTGCGGAACCGACGAGCTCTGCTGCGGCGCAGGGAGGCGACATCCGCGGCGAGCTCGGCTGCGGCGCAGGGAGGCGGCAGCCGCCGTAGCCTGCTCGTGCGCTATTGTGCTGCTCGGAGGCCGACGACAAGGATGAGCCAGCAATGGCGTTCTCCTCCAGCTGTCCGTCGTTCCACTCGGACGACTCCGTGTCCTCATCGCCCAAGGCGCCACCTCCACCGAAGCAGCGTAGCAAGAAGTGCCGCATGGCGGTCTCCCGGCTACGCACGACGCTTGCCACGGCCATCGCTGGTCAGCACCGGCAGGTCCTGCTCGAAGCGCGGCTCACGGGCATGCTTTACGGCCACCGCCGCAGCCACGTACACCTCATGTTCCAGGTGGACCTGCGAGCAGCAATTTGTGAAAGGCCAAAGCCGAGGAGCACGCCACGAGCCGCCGCCCTGGCCCGCTCGCTTTATGGCTCCACTCTCGTCTGCCGTGCCACCGAGAGGGAGCCACCGTCGCCCCGAGTCCAAGCACCGCCCCCTCCTCGGACTCTAAAGCCCTTCGTGTTGAAGCCGCAGGGGCGCCGCGAGCCGCCGCAGTGCCGAGCCAATCGAGCTGAGCGCCAACGGAGATGGACTGCATCCCCGCCGCCGCCACGCGTTCTCTTCCCTCTGCCCGATTGCTGCTGCCTTGCGCCCCGCGACCCCGGCCATCTCCAATGCTGTCGCCGGAGCCGAGGCCGTGACCGTCGTCGCGCCCTTCTTCCCTCCTGCATCGCCCAGCCAGGCTTGCACCGGAGCAACGCCACCGACGCCCTATGCTCTACTTCCACCGGCGTGCCTCCTTCCCTCTGCTCTCTCTCTCTCTCTTGCGGTTAGCAACGGACGCGAGCCAAGGGCCACCATCGACCCTATGCCGGCCAAGACCGCTGTCGTCCGCCTGCCGACCACCGCCCTCTGCTCTCTCTCTCTCTCTAATTCTCTCTCGCTCTGCCCGGTGTGAGGGAGGGAGGGATGAGTGGGTGACACACGGACCCCACATGTCGCCGAGATGTAGGCTAGCGTCCTACGTGGCGATCAACGCCAGCGTGGCATGGTCAAAACTGCTCAACGTCGGTCAAAACAGCCTTGCCCCCGCCCAGGTGCTAAAAGTGAACGGTTTTGACAGTTAGGGTACCGGTGTCGGTGTTTTGAGTAAACACCGACTAGTAAATTTGTATTTGTTGCACGTTAGGCCCGGATGGTGTGCTAAAAGACACAAGGTTTATACTGATTCGGGTAGAATGTCCCTACGTCTAGTCTGCTGTTGTTGCTTGTGTTATTAGCACTGAAAACGGTTTGTAGTAGGGGGTACAAATGATCAAGAGAGGGACAAGTCCTAAGTCTCTGATGGAAAGGTCGTACGAGTACTGAGAGCTCGGTTGCTGCTCAGTTGTGTGTAGTGTGGTGCGTGGTGTGTTGAAATTGATCTGTCCCCTTAGTGGGCTGCCCTGCCTTCCCTTTTATAGATTAAGGGGGAGTAGGGGTTACAGATGGGAGAAAGAAGAAAAAACCAGAGGCCAAGAAGGTCCTTCGAAGGTGCTGGGTCTTCCTTTTCCTCTGAGCCAGCCCCGCTGACATGGCAGACGGTGCCAGGGATATCACGTTCGCTGATCTTGATAGGACCATGCTCTGGCTTCGTTAAGCAAGTGGTCACGTCCCATCCCGCCCCGACGAGTGGCGCGACGCACTAGGGTGCCGAGCCGCGACCCTACGGGAAGCAGACGGGGAAGTGACTATATGTCCGTACTGTAGATGATATGAGTCCCCTCCGAGATCATAGTGGTTGTCGTATGCTTATGTCAGGATCCACGTCCGAGGGTTGATGGCGGCGCCCACAACACTATAAGACAAAAGTCGGCGCCTACAACACTGTTCGGGCTCTGTCATGCCTAGAAGGGCTTAAAGCGCCCGTCCCGTCATATCCTAACGGTACTTTCCCATAGGCGTGCAGGGTATGGTCCTCGGTACTACGGTTGACTTGAGTGTCCTGTCTTACCCTGTGCCCATCATTATGAAGGAGCAGGGTGCAGACGTTGTGCGAGGTAGAGCCAGCCCCGGGACATCGGGCGAGGTGGAGCCTGCCCCGAGATGTTGGGCGAGGCGAAGCCAACCCTCAGACGTCAGGCGAGGCAGAGCCTGTCCTCGGACGTCGGGCGAGGTGGAGCCTACCCTGAGACGTCGGGCAAGGTGGAGCTTGCCCTTGGACGTTGGGCAAGGCGGAGCCAGCCCCCAGACATCGGGCGAGATGGAGTCCAGCCCTAGAGGGTCGGGCGAGGCGGAGCCAACCCTTAGGGGCTGGGCGAGGCGCAGCCAACCTTCGATCGTATGGGCAAGAAGTGTAGTTCCATTCTTGTCTGTTCAGAAGCATCATCGTTTGATGGTTATTAGCTCTACCTCTTCGAGTACCCTAGTATTTGGTCCCCGACAGTAGCCCCCGAGCCCTTGGGTGATTCGGATAGAATCGCCCAGGGGGGATTTGACTTGCTAGAGGGCGTGCGTGAGCGCACCCGACGGGTGTAGCCCCTGAGCCCCCGGGTGTTTCGGATAGAATAACCTGGGGGGTATTTCGATTCGCCAGAGGGTGCGCGCGAGCGCACCCGTCGGGTGTAGCCCCTAGGTGATTCGGATAGAATCAGTCGGGGGGTAATTCGGACCCTTCGTGGGTATGGCTGTGAGATTTGGTGTTTTGACAATTGGATAGTTTAAAGGGAACCCTGGTATCCCGTTCATGGGGATTCATCCAGGGTCAGCCCGGTTGAGACTCGATCGCGGATCGAGACTCCCTTGAGGCTCGTGCGCCTGAGTTCTGGCCGCTCACGGGTCCATCCTTCATTGGGACGACCGTCGAAATCATTGGGCCAGACCTCAAACTCCTGGGCCTAGGCGCGCTGGAGAAATGCTTTTTGACTCGTATCCCCTCTGCGGGAAAAGAGTCTTAGCCTACCCGGGAAGGCGAAACATCCGGCGCAACTTTGGTGGGAAAGGATAGGGATTGCGGGTGCATATCCCGCAACGTGACGTGGTGGTGTATCGTGGCAGGCATGGAGATCTAGGCGGATGGTTGCCCTTCTCGCAATCATCGCCCCTATAAAACCAAGGGGTTCACCCCCAGGGTTCCGTACTTTGCCTCCTCACCTTTGCATCTATAACCTCCCCCGCCAATCACCTGAGCCTCCCGCACCCACATCGCAGCTACCGTCAAGCTCGCATCCAACCACCCCAAATCGTCTAATGGAGCCGTGGTGCAGATCCGATGTCACCCTCCAGCGCTTGGAGGGCCTCGTTCATCGTGGCCTTCTTTGCGCGCGGACTGTCACCGAGGAGTGGCGGTTGCCCGACAATGAGGATGCGTCGTCACTGCCTGAAGGCTATGTTATGTCCTTCGCTCACTTCCATGAGTGGGGATTCACCACCCCCACCCACAAGTTCCTTCGGGGGTTGTTGAATTACTACAATGTGGAGCAATAGCACCTCACTCCCAATGGGATCCAGCACATTGCGATGTTTGTCGCCTTGTGTGAGGGGTTTCTAGGGATTAGTCCCCATTTTGACCTATGGCGGCACTTTTTCACTGTCACCCTCCTAAAGAAGCGGGAGAAGAAGCACAAGCTGAGCGTGCCGATGGGATGCGCCGGCATTCAGCTGCGCAACAACCAGGTAAACGAATACCCATTGATGCGTCTATCGACCTCCAACAAGGGGTGCCATTCACATTGGTTCTACATCAAGAACGACGCAGCTGCCCCCTTGCCAGCATTCACCGGTCGCCTCATCGAAGAAGCCCTAGAATCATGGAGGAAGTGGGGGTCCTGGATAAAGACAAGAAGAAAATCCTAGACCATCTCACCGCCATCCAAATTCTGAAGGAGAGGGGCGTGAAGGGGTCGAGGATCATCGGCGCCTATCATGTGCGGAGGGTGGCACCGCTGATGAGTCGTGCACTTCCCTTGTACCTGATGGTGCCTCGGAGCATCCCTCGATGGGACGGTGTGCGCTAATGGAGCGCTCTCCCCCTCTGAAGTGGCGCAACGCATCAAGGAGATGATGGAGCCTTCGAAGGACGACGCCAGCGTCATTCTTGATTTTGTATCCGGTGCTAGGGCACCCCCCAATGCAGCCGGAACCAGGGTACATCGACTTCATAAGTTCTCTTTCCCCGTGCCTCCTTTTTAATTGAGCTCCCAACTCCTTGATGCTGATA